ATAGTTACTAACTTTTACTGTGTAAAGCCCTTTTAATAAATTAAGTTATTTAGGAATGCAGTTTTAAATAGGAAGTAAATTTCTTTTAAAGCTAAATACTAGCTAGAAACTAATAGCGCACAAGTAGAGTAATTAAAAAATAAAAAGTACTTTAAAAAAAAAGTTAAATAGTATATAAAATTGTTAAAAGGGAAGCGCTTGCAGCTAAACTTACTTATAGTTACTTATTTAAGCTTTTGCCTAGTGCACTCTTCTGCAAGTAAACTAGTATTAGTTTAGGCAGTTAAATAAAAGCTTTTATTATATACTTTTTTTTAGAAAAGCTTTATAGAAAAAGCAATATGCAACTAGCCTAAACTAAAGTCTATATATCTGCTAGGATGCTAGCGTAATAGCTATAAGCAGCTTATTTTAAAATACAGACTAAAAAATCTAATATTTATACAAGTATTTAAGTATTAAGCCTAAATGCATAATAAAAGTAAACAGAAATAGGATTTTTTTTAGGGTGCACTATTAACTAATCCTAATATTTTTAGATAGATTTAAGTAAAAGCATAGCTATTAAAACCTAAAAAATAGTAAACTATACTTAAATAAAGTAAAGCTAGAGGAAATTTTAGTAAAAGCTCGCAGCAGTTCTAACGTGCAAATTAATTATTAAATTTAGGTATAGGGGCAAAAAACTAATTAAATTATTTAGTAGCTAGTTTTTGCTAAAGTTTTTTTTAAAATAGCAGTAATATATTTAGTTTTATAAAGTAAAGCAAATAATTAGAAGCTTAAAAGTTAAAATAACTTTTACTTATTTTTAAACTTTAAATATGTAAGAAGTTTTTATTACTTAATTAAATATAAACACTTAAATGTACTATTACTAGTAGGCTATTTTTAGTAAGCAGAACTGGCAATGCAGAATAAACTAAATGCAGGGTTAAAGTACTAGAATACACGCTTATTAAATACTACAAAAAGTATTAGTTTATTTAAACAGCAGGACAGTAGCTATAAAAGTTAGAATCTGCTAAAAAGTATATAATAACTTACCTACTAAATAAACTAGCTTTAAAAATAAATAGCGCTTAAGCATATTACTTATACCCCGCTGCTAGGGCAAGATTTAAGCCCTAGTAAGTAGGCAGGCATAAAAGCTTATAATAAAGCTTTAAAAGTAACTCTAAATTAAATAGCTTTTAGTACAAATTTTAGTAATAGTAGCAAATACTTAAATAAAAACTTTAAAAACTGAAGTAGGGAAAAGTTTTATATAAATAGTAGTTAGATATAAGTTAGTTAATTTTAAAAAATAGAGTAATTTTATTTTAATATTAGCGCTTGCGCTGTGCCTTTAAAAGGGAAGCTAGTTAATATTCTAGTATTTAGATATAGATTTTCTGCGGCAACACAACTAAGAGCAGAAACTTTAGTAGGAGCCCTAAAAAGAGTTTTCTTTTTTTTTTAATAGTTTATTACCCTAAAATTAGTTTGTCTAGAACTAGGGTTTAATAGCTAAAAGAGCGCTGTATTTTTGCAGTATTTAGTGCGCTCCTAATAAGCTTTAAAAATCTACTTAAAAAAATAGTTTTTATACTAAGTTGTACTTATAACTGTAGTAAGTCTCTAAAGTAAAAAGCTTTTAGTTAATAGAATAATATAAATAAAAAAAGTTAGCAAAATAAATCTGTAACTTTAGAAAAAAAATTAGTTCTAAAAGTTAAGCATATTAAGCTTTAGGGAGAAGCTTCTAGCGCAAAAAAGCACTAGCCGCAAAATAGGCGCCTTTTAGCACTAGGGTGCAGGTATTTTTAGCAAGCTTTAGCTATTTAGCATATATTTAATAACTAACTTAAAACTAGTACAAATAAAAGGAATTTAACTATTTAATTAAAACATAGCATTATAATAGCTAGAAAGTAATATTAATGCAATATAATTTTTGCCTAGTGCTTTAAATATTAAAACAAAGAAATTCGACTAAGCGCGGGTAAATAGCAGGAATAATTATAACTTTCTTAAAGTAGCTAAATGCCTTATTATTTAATTAGTAACGCGCATAAATAAATTAATAAAATTCCTACTATTTTTATTTACTATTTAGTAAAACTACAGCTAAGGGAACGGGCTTAGCCAAATTAGCAAGGAAAAAAAACCCTATTAAGCTTAACTTTAGTTTAATATTGTAAAAAAATATAAAAAGTATAGAATAAGTAGGAGCTTTAGCGCTAGTAAAATACTACTACTTTTATAGTTTTTTTACTTATTTAATAAAGCGGAGCTAGGCCTTACTACTTAATTTTTAGTATTAAAGTTTTTTGTAGGCCGATTTGAGTTAAAGATATTATTAGGTAAAGAGTTTAGTTAAAGCAGTATATTTGTTAAACTATAACGCAGGTATCCTAAAGAAAACTTATAAAAAATAGAAATTTCTAGTAAAGTAAAAAAGCAAAAGTCCCCTTAATTTTAATTTTTAGTGTAAATACAAACTATAAAAGTATAGCTTATTAATCTTTTAGTCCTTTAAAATTTAAAGCTAAAAGTACTAGAAAAGTTACTATAGAAATAACTAGCTTGTAGCAGCCAAGCGTTTATAGCAATATTGCTTTTTAATTTTTTAATATTAGCTCTTTTTATTATACTAAAGCAGAATTTAGTAAGCATTAGATTGTTTACCTACTAATAAAAAATATAAGCTAGGTTTAGACTATTATAAAATAGGTTAGTTTTACCCTACTAATAATTTTACCCTAATAGTAATACTGCTTAGTATAAGAAGAACTACAGTTTTAAATAATTAGTTTTTGTAGCTATCTAACTAGGCATTACCGCAAAGCTACTATCTGCTAAATTATAGCTAAATACTTTTAAATTAGAATTTATACTAGAATAAAGTAATTTCTGCCTGCACTAGTTAGATACAAATAAGCCTTTAGCTTAAAACCTTACTAGGCCGGCATTAGCAGTTTTATTAAAGTTAAAGCTGCTAGCTAGTATATTATAATTATATAGTGCGTAGGATTAAATTTTTTACAAATAACTTAGTTATTTAGCTAAGTTGTATAAATAGTTAAATAGCTTTATTATTATAAGCTACTAAGCGTAAGCCCGCCGCTAGCTTAGTTAAATATAAAATATATAATTCTCCCTATTTATTAAGAAGCAGCAAAGTCTGCAGCAAAAAAAGGGGAAAATATTATAAGTTTAAAGCTCTAACCCCTTAAACTAAGTAGAAAAATGCTTACCTAAACTCTTAAAGTATTTTAGGCACTTACTTAAGCTAGAAAAACTACTTGCTTAATATAAGTAGTATTAGCTACTTAAATTAAAAGGGCTAATTGCTTAAGCTAGGCAAAT